TGACACGGCACCGCCTTTTGCTCTAGGCTGGCGCTCACCCGTGTCTCTCTCGATATCAGCCGTCCAGCTATTAATATGACAATCGGTTGTCATCGGTCGTCTCCCCGCCCTTGACACTGAGATAAGGCCGCCGCCGAATATGGATTACGGATATTGCGTTCTGTTCCGTTTACGACGTACACCTAACTGGTTACTCGAATCCGTTTCCGTGTTTACTTTTCTACCTTTTGGTTGGTTTTGTTTTATATAACATTTTCGTCGACCGTTACGCGTCAAGCATCCGTGTTGGTGAAATATTCGCAATAGCTAAAGTGAACTAAATATATTTTAACACACATATTGATATTACTTATCGGGTACATTTGGTGTACACGACTGAACGTGTACTGTTACGCGTCAACCATCCGTGTTGGTCAAATATTAGCAAACGCTAAAGTGAACTAAATATATATATTAACACACATATACTAATATTANTCTTAACACACATATACTAATATTATTTATCGGGAACGTTTTGTGTACCCACCCAAACGTATACTGTGGATACGCGATAACTGGCTCCCCGAAGAAGAATCTCAACCGGACGAGGAAAGTTAAGGTAAGAGGCTTTGAGCCGATTAAGTTTTATTTCTAATTATATTAGATTTTAGTTTTAACTTGAAACGGTGAAGTCTCCCTTACAAATTTGTTAGTTCATATAGTTATTTGAACGGATTTCACTGGTGACAGCAGTGAATTTTTACCTGGGTTATTCACAGTTACCTGTTAGCGGGATTAGATTTAGCCTGGGCTCTAGGAAAATTTTCATTTATAAAAATAAAGTCAGAGCAGTTTATCTAGTATAACCCGCCGTAGGTATTGTCGTTTAAAAGTGTTGGTTACAGTTTATTATAAAGACCTTATTGATATTGATAGCGACAAAAAGTGAATTTCCGGCCGATAGTTACAGTCTTTTGGTAGATAAAAATCGTATATTTTCGTCTGACCTTGCCAAAGCGGCCGATTCCCAGGTAAACCTTATTATTATTGTTCACTCGCTGCCATATCATATACGGCGGCCCCGGACCATTTTATCGCGGTCATTATTACAACAATAGCAATAATAATAACACTTGTTTTTCTACAACACTAGCAAATTTGACCGTACACGGAGATATTGTTTATCTCCGCTATTATAGTAACATACATTTGATTATTAAGATTGTGAATAAACAAAATATTCACGGTCAATATGTCGGGAAAATTATTAGCACAAATGAATTGCTCTGAATTACGTCGCGAATGCGCTTTTAGACAGCTACCATGCTACGCGACGAAACCCAACATGCTGATTCGGCTAGAGGAAAACCTACGTAGCGAAGGGAGGAATCCAGCTACCGAAATTTTACCACCCCGTGTGCCGCTCGATAGCGAAATTCCGGTCCGCGAACCCGAAGTGGGGGTTTTAGACAACTCCACGGACCGTACCCGCGAAATCGGCGCGAACTATCAGCGGTCCGGCGTAGCACCTTTACCGGAGGAACATCCGGTGAACCTCGCGCTACACACATCAGACGACGAGTCTGATGTCGAACAATCGGGGTATATTACGCGCGCAAGCGGTCAACTAGGCGTGCCGTACGTTGAAGACGTATACGTTGCCCGCTCGATAGCGCACGCGGCAGAACAAGTCGGGGCGATCCGACAGAATATTCGCGACATTTCGAATAACGCGCGGATCGAGGCACGGATGACTGAACTAGAACGGTCGCTCTCGCGTATGTCAATGGAACAGCGACAGATTTCAAATATGCTGGAGCGAATCAGTCAAAATATGCTGCCGTCCCCACACGTTGATGCACAGTCGACTATTCGTTAAGTCAACGTCAAACGAAACGATAGTCGACGATCGGACGCGCATCGCGTTACATTCGGTCCATCGGGAGCGACGGACCCGACACGACACGACGCAACATTACACGAGCGCCTCGCGGACATCTAAGCGCAAGAAGCCCGCAACATGAGACGATCGTACGGACAAGCGTCGCGCGCGTCGCTACCACGGATGAGTAGCACGGGTTGGCAAGACGAACATATTCCACGCACTCATACATATGAGAACGAGCCGACAGATTTTTCGTTTACGCGCCAGCCACGGGAGGGGCAATCCAACACAACCGACGGTCGTCGGTCTTTTAATGATTTGTCGCCTACCCGCAGCTCGCGGTCTGTACTGGTACCTTACCACGACCTACGCACCGTACGCGCCTGTTTACCTGAATATTACGGGAGAAACGAAGAGGATCCACGGGAGTTTCTAGACAGAGCGGAGGATCTACTCTGTCAGGGCGGTATACACCCAACTGCGTGAGTGAACATCGTCGTCCCGTTTTTGAACGACAGGGCAGGTGATTGGTGGCAAGCTATTAAATTAAACAATATGCCATGGGCGGAATTTAGGTCCGAATTACTCGAGGAGTTCGACAATATCGACATCCGGACGGCGCTCGAGACGGACTTAAAAACGACGCGACAGGGCCCCCGACAAACGTTAACTGAATTTATCATTCATAAACAACGATTGGCCGCGCGAGTACGTTGTGGTTTACCGGAACAACAACTTGTGCGACAGTTAACGGGGCTTTTACGGGACGATTACCGCGCTATGATACGGTTAATGCACCCAGCGTCTTTCGCCGATCTACGTGAGATAGCGCACGACGTAGACAAAACCGCGGCTCCTCGGTACGCTCCGCCAGCGTCCCGACAGCCAGCCGATCTGCATCCGCGGCATACCGCGCAACCAGCGGCCCGACAGCGAGCGGGTTATGCACACGCGGACGCACCGCCTACCCCGTGCCGATATTGCGGCGAGCGACACTGGCACTGCCAGTGCCCAAACAGACCGTCGGTATCGGGAAACGGCAATCGGCTAGGAGGGAATTAGTCCGCCCCTCCAGTCTACGACAGATCCACACAGTGCGCAGTGTTTTAGACGACGTTTCGTTTAAAACGCGCCCTGCCGCTTCGAAATTTGTATCTAGTGAAAACATATTACGCATCACGACCATCGCGCAGAACACCGAATCTAACGGCTCTTACGAGTTACATACCGCCAACGATCTTGGCACTTTTTCGGCACCGCACCCCTCTTATCGGAATGGAGGGGACGCCGCGGTAAATTCGGATGTAATCAGGGTATCGGAGTTCGAACACGCTGCCGACACGAACGAACAAAGCGCGAGTCAGGTGTTCGAAATTTTTTCGGGCACAGTGGGGGAGGGGGTGTCAGTCGATCCGCCTAGTCCACTAATGGCAGTTAACACTGTCGGTGGGCAAACCGACGTTGCGGTTAAGAACCAGCTGCCCCCCGTTCGAACCGTAAACCACCCGAGTAATGGCCAACGAAAATGCCCGCGTAGAATTACTACTCCAGCAGTCGAGTTAGAATTCGAAACTGGCTTCGTCACAGCCCTACTCGACTCACAGGCGCATAAATCGTATGTAAAACCGGTAATTGCTTATAAATACGGAACTGTTTATAAAGGACACACTGACGTGGTTAGACTAGCGGACGGACATACCGCCACAACGAACGGTACCGCCAAAATCGCGGATTTAGAAGTGCGTTTTTCAGCGGTTATTTTAGACGACCTATATTGCGACGTATTACTTGGCCATGATTTTCTGATTGATCAGAAAGTCGCCTGGGACTACTCAGCAGGAACAATACACTTAGGCAATAGGAAACGTACAACCGCTTGTTGGAAATCGGGCGCACGACACACGATCCGCAAACCAGATCTGACGCAGTTAGATATAACCGGCGACCCACGAACGCGCGCGTTATTAACACAGACGATATGTAATTACGCAGCGGTCTTTAATGACACGGTGGGTCGCACAAAATTAATCGAGCACGATATTCTATTGAAAGACCTATCGCTAAAGACTATCGCACTAAAACCGTACCCCTACCCTCTGCACAAGCAGGAGGTTATTGACGATATGGTAAACGACATGGAGGCGCAGGGGCTAATAGAACCGAGTGTATCGCCGTGGTCAGCACCGATAGTGCTGGCCAAGAAGAAGGACGGGACTTTTCGTTTATGTATAGATTACCGACGACTAAACGAAGTAACCGTTTCGGACGCGTACCCCATGCCTAATCTAAACGACATGGTTAGGAACATGAGAGGGGCAAAAATGTACACGACTCTCGACTTAAAGTCGGGTTATTGGCAATGCTCTTTAAATCAAAAAGCCCGTAAGTTTACGGCATTTAGAACAAGAAGGGGCTTGTTTCAGTTTCGTGTATTACCGTTTGGACTCAAAAATTCGCCGATGACTTTCGTAAGACTTATGAATGAAGTACTTAGAGGATATCTAGATGATTTTGTCCAAGTTTACTTGGACGACATAATCATTTATTCAAGTAGTTTAGAAAATCATTTAGAACATTTAGGCAAAGTTCTAGAACGATTAGAGCGACACGGGCTGACATGTCACACAAAAAAGTGTAAAATAGGATTTTCCGAAATTTCCTTTTTGGGCCATATTGTACACGGTGAGGGCATAGACAAGCAGCCCGAAAAACTCGAGTCTATCCGCGTCCTATCGGTCCCACGGAATATCAGGGACCTACGTAGATGTCTCGGCATATTTAATTGGTATTGTCAATTCGTCGACAACTACGCCGAAACAATAGCGCCGCTGACAAATCTACTAAAAAGGGGGACGAAATGGTTGTGGACGGAAGACCATCAAAGGGCTTTTGAACAGGTAAAAAAGGCCCTGTGTGAGTCCCCACGACTGAGTCCTCCTGACTACGCGAAAACTTTCTGCCTTCAAACCGATGCGAGTGAAATGGGCGTGGGAGCAATACTCTTTCAACACGGAGATGAACCGGGAGAGAGAAGAATAATATCCTACGCCAGTAAGAAACTTTCAGAAACGCAGAAACGTTACGCCGCCGTAGAACGAGAATGCTTAGCAATTATATGGGCGACTGATAAATTTCGCCCGTACTTAGAGTACTCTCCGTTCGAATTATTTACAGATAATTCCGCGTTGACTTGGCTACACAGAGCAAAGGACAACAATTCAAAATTAACTAGGTGGGCGCTACATCTAGGTAATTTGAATTTTACAACGACACATGTACCCGGGAAACACAACGAGGGACCGGACATGCTGTCACGTTATCCGACCGCGGGGCCCCCCGTTGACGAAGAGTTACTCGACGACAATCTGGTGGGCGCACCGACAACGAGAGCGTCGGATAACACGCGGGCCACTCTTGACAATGTTTTTGCCTTAACCGAAACAAACGGCGCGTCAGATAAACGGCCGTTTACGGGGGGGGGGGGGGNACAAACGGCGCGTCAGATAAACGGCCGTTTACGGGGGGGGGAATACAAGAGTGGCAAAACGACGATCCGTTTCTTTCACAGTTTCTTTCAAAGTTGACCCCCCTCCAAGGCATAAGGGATGAACTTAAGAAGTATTACATAGTTAAAAATTCAAGAATACTGTGTAATTAAGATAATAATAAAACAAAATGTTTAAATTATTATTATTCTGCAAGTAATTGAGTGGGTTATGATAAAAAAATCACTCTGTATATTAGTGAAATATTAGTTTTTAGTATAATATTTCGACTCTGATTTATTTGTATTTCGTAGCTGGAAATACCAACGCGAGATCTCAAATAATATCTTTATCTTTATGCATAGACCCTTATGATATGTGACCTACTTCTTTCCAATCACTTGTAGGACGACCTAGGTTAGATGCGACTGTACTATAGATTTATGCACAATAAGTTATATTAGTGTCCTACACTCCGATTGCCCACACTGTGGCAGTGATCAGACTAGCTAGTCGATAAGTGGAGAGACACTATGACGAAATCTTATGGTTAACTAAAATTCTAATTATGATATTATTGTACTGTTACCCTGTCCAGCCAGGTGGCCCTTCAATAAGTAATAGATACAATTCAATCAAATTAAGTACCTTAGAATATCTAATGTATATTACAAAATAATATAAATAAGTAATGCGTTATAAATTATATAAGTGTCCTACACTCCGATTTCCCGCACTGTGGCAGAGATCAGACTAGCTAGTCGATAAGCGGAGAGACACTTTAGAGAACGCTTATAATTAGTTGGAGTATTAATTGTGATATTATTGTGCTAGTACTCTGTCCAGCTAGGATGTGGCGCTTCAATAAGTAATAGAACACAATGCAATCTAGTCATGTAACCTTTTAATATGCTTATTTTTATATATATATATATACATATAAATGTAAATAAAAAGAAATAAATAAACACCAATATTTTATATGTGTTAGAATATTTATATCACCAAAAGTATTCAACAGAAAATAAGATGTATAATATTTTCAGTAATTACGAAAGAGGGTAAAAATAGTGCAGATTTTATAAAGAATTGTAACTAAGAATGAAACATAAACTCACGCACATTCACTTTTTGTATCTAGGTTGAGAATTCCAGAAAGCCGTAGAGGTGCAGAGATAGAATGGCAAGGCGTCCCAGTGTCCGCTAGAGGGATGTTCAGAAACCGTGAATGGCTGACGCAGTAAAAGAACCACTGTAATGGAAGTGAAGCAGCCAAGAAACCACACGAATTTGGGGGGAAATGGCCTTTTTATAGCCCGCAAAACTGGTTTAGCGATCTCTGGTGAGATTCTTGAAATATTTTTTTCTGTATTTGATTGGTTAATGTGATAGAATCTTTTACGTAGGTGTTTTATGGAATGCGTAAGAGGGAGGTTAAATCTTGTGTAAGGGTATTATTTTATTATTCCTCTTATCCACGGGGAAACACTGATTTGGTGATATATTTTATTAAATATAAGTATTAATTATTACATGTATTAAATTGTGATACTACACTATAACTACGTTTTTTAGCTGATTTTTCAACATGAACACGAAATTCTTATCTAACGACAACAAGCATTAAACTAACAGAAAACATCTCAAGTATTCAGAATGTATTATTACTATTATTGTTCAATTATAATTCAGCCAATTTTTCTAATTATTCACATTATATCGACAAACACAAATTCCCACATTCCCCAATTTTCAATATTTTACCGTAATAAACTTATTTATAAAACCTATTTTTAAAATTATATAAATACCTTACAATTATTTTATTTTTGCCGCAGCTTGCTGTCGGCTAACATATTTACTATATAAACATTTCATTGTACAACATATATTATTTTTATTAATTTTTCTAATATATTTGTTTTTGTACAACTTAAATTTAATTTTGTTTTATGTTTAAATTTTTATCTGTATATATGTATGTAACTATATTTAAATCGCTAAAATAGCTTTGCCCTAAATATACCACCTCGATTAAAAAGTTCCCGGAATAACCATCATAGGGCGCTCCCATTGTTACGATTTGAGTATTTCGTAAATATATATCTTGATGCATTATTTAAAAAAAAACGGTAGCACAGTGGAGTCACAGCACAAGATGAGCGTGTCATAGTTGGGACTAGTATAGATGATATCTGACAGTGATTAAAATCACTATCATAAGACACGCTTCAATGAAAATCTGTAGATAGTGTTGAATTTTATGAGATTATGATTGTGTTTTTGCATTTATTTAATGTATATATATTAATTCTTTTAGCATGCATATTCAACTTAAGCTCAAATCTCATAAAATTATTGTACTATCGACTAAGCTTAAAACACTGATACAGTGACACAAGTATTACTTCAGAAGGGCAGCTGCACATATAAAAGCTTTTGGGATTCACAGGAATCGTGTCATAATAAGAGTGTTCCGAAAGTCAGATGACTTTTTACTAACATCGATTACGACTGTTACCCATATAGTCTAAGTTATTAACTTAACTTAGCTATTACCGAGATAGTGCGAGAGAAGAAGCTGACAGTACTCTACACACGCACTTCCGGTGCGAGGTACAACTCTTTGGAGTTTTTTTACCAACTCTCCCAATATAACGAGGAGAGTGCACACCACATTGTAAATTAGCTCTTAATTAACTTCACACTGATTCACAACGTGGTAGTGTGAATTATAGAGACGGCGTGAGTTAACCTGAAGTAATGCCTAACAACAACAGTTCCGGCGTAGCTCACAATAAGGCGGATTGTAGAAAAAGTACCAGTTGTCCCAAACACTGTTAATTATATTCTATTGTGTGGCAGCTGATCTCTAACGTATTGGCTTTACTTACCCCCTTGCCCACCACAGTAAATCAATAGTCTATGTGTACATTTTAATAAGTATTTAAGGGACCCCCGCTATACACTAAATTAAAGATTAAAAAAACTCATTGAAGAACCTTTAATATATGTGGTTATTTGTTATTTGATTGTCTATTCTCATCATGTATTGGATGTGCGGTTATTCGTCATCCACACAGGTGACCCTTCTCTCGATTCAATAACAGTAATTTAAAAAGGCTTAACAGCATTTTAGTGCGGTGCACAAGTAGCCATCTTACGGTCTACCTGTCTCGTACGAAACAAACAAAAAGAGAAAAAAAATTATTTATGTATACTTTCATTTGAAAAAATAAAGTTGACACTTTTATAAAATATCAGAGAAAAATAAAAAATACCCCCATTGGTGCTGGGGGTGGAGATCCCGCTTAAGGACTCCATGACTTATCTGGGCCTTGTCATAGACAAACGTCTAAAGTTCGGGCCGCACATTACTCGTGCGGCCCAGCTGGCCCAGAAAGTCATGAATTGCCTGGCGGGACTCATTCCCAATCTGGGAGGGTCGAGAGAGATGCGGCGCAGGCTTTTAGTCAGCGTCGTACACTCGGTTCTCCTGTACGGGTCCCCGGTTTTGGGCGGATACTCTTGAGTATCTATTATATTAATATATATATATAGTATATATTAAAAATGCTATAAAAAAAATTTCTACTCTTAGTTTCATAATAAAAGTTTCTAAGATATAATTAATTTTTAAGTAATTGACAGTAGCTTTATATAATGAAAATACTGGTAAGGTTTGTAACTATATTAATTTTATTTTATATTTAAAATAATACATTTTATTAAACAAATTTAATAATTGTTGGCCAATTGTCAAAAATGTTATTTTATATTAATTGGCTTAAATAAACAGTAAACAAGAATTTTTTTTTGCTTAAATAGAATAAACAATGTTATTTAAATGGACATCGTATGGTAACGACTACGACGAAGGAGGCCGTAATAAACTCTTTGGCCTGCTGAGAAGTATTGTTCCCAACGTAGCACTGCACATACCTAAAACTACAAGTCGAAACGAGGCAAATTAATCTAATTTCTATAAGTTAACCACAATTGTAGTTAATGTTGATCAATTAATTTTGTAGTTGATACATGATAATAATGAATATATGATTTTTTCAACGTCCTCACGGAAGAAGCAGTCGTGACATTTTTTGGCATTGTATTTATATTTATATATAGTGTATAAAATATACGGTGATAATACTAAGCCGCCTGGTAATTATTTATTTAATATAAAACCCAACTTAGTCACAGCACTATGTAAAGATTTTAATAAGTATTTAAGGGCCCCCCGTTATACCTTAAATTTAAGATTAAAAAAACTCATTGAAGAACCTTTAATACATGTGGTTATTTGTTAGTTGTCTATTCTCGTTATTTATAGGATGAGCGGTTAATCGTTATCCACACAGGTGACCCTTCTCTCGATTCAATAATAGTGATTTAAAAAGACTTAAAGTAAAATGACATTCTAGTGCGGTGCACAAGTAGCCGTCTTACGGTCTAGCTGCCTCGTACGAAACAAACAAAAAGAGAAACGAGTTAATTATGTATATTTTCATTTGAAAAACTAAAATTGACACTGTTATAAAATAAAAAAATACCCATAGTTGATAGATTTAAAACAATATGTATCTAAAAGACGATTCCAAGTAGTTGCGATTAATGAGAAGTAAAAGAAGAAAGACGTATTTAAAAGAAACCAAAAGAAAAAATGTATAAATAAAAGTTTTATTTTTTAATTTTTTAAGTGGTTATGATAAAAGAATCACTTTGCATCTTATTATGTAATCATGAAATATTTTTTAATTTATCAAAAAAAGTGGGTTAAAATATTTTTTTTCTAGGCCAATGATGTTTAAAAAATGTATTATATGCAATTGATTTTTTTTATAATAATAAAACAAATTATTATTATAGTTTTATTAAAACCAATAATATGGTTTTGTTTTTATTTTAAAATAAGAAATCACACGATCTTTAGCGAAAATACATTTTATAATGACAAATATCGACAATGTACAATTATTTCATATCTAAACGTTTATTATTATTTTTTTTTTTGTCTTTTATTAATTTTAAAATGGTTGAATAAATTATTGATTACATGTGTAATTCNATGGTTGAATAAATTATTGATTACATGTGTAATTCAATTATTATAAATATTTTTGGAAAATAAATATCTACCATACTAAAAAAGTTATCAAATATTACAAATCTATTATGTTAATTCTTTCGAATTCTACGTCAATTAACATAAAAATATGCTGAAATTTTTCCTCTAATTCCTTCTCACATATCAGTTTAAATTTGTATGTCTCATTGTCTCCGTGAGGTTTCAAAAATCCTTTAAATATGTTATCTAATTCATTTTGTGTTAGAATGTGTTCATATTTAATATTATTCCATCTAAAGTTTTTTTTTAAATTTTCAATTTCTTGGGGCGTAAAGAAATACTTTGCATAATTATTTACTAATCTTTGAAAAACACACATTGTAGCACATCCATTAATTGCATTTTTAATATCATTATTAAGTCCTTCATTAATTTCATCTAATCCTATACGTAATTTTTCGTCTCTNTTCCTCTAATTCCTTCTCACATATCAGTTTAAATTTGTATGTCTCATTGTCTCCGTGAGGTTTCAAAAATCCTTTAAAAATGTTATCTAATTCATTTTGTGTTAGAATGTGTTCATATTTAATATTATTCCATCTAAAGTTTTTTTTTAAATTTTCAATTTCTTGGGGCGTAAAGAAATACTTTGCATAATTATTTACTAATCTTTGAAAAACACACATTGTAGCACATCCATTAATTGCATTTTTAATATCATTATTAAGTCCTTCATTAATTTCATCTAATCCTATTCGTAATTTTTCGTCTCCATCCAAAAGATATAGTGCATTACCCAATTTTTTAAAATTATTCATGAATTGGTCCCAATATAGTGTTTTACAATAATCAATTCTTAGTGCCTCATAGGCATATACCATTAGCAAAATCGCATACTTTAAAATTCGATCACAAATGATTTTCATTGCTTTTTTAAGAGTGAATATAATATCTTTTCTGTGGATAGTTGAATTAAGAATGAAATCGTTTATTGTTGTATAGGGTAGTGTAGGAAAATACGATTGAACAAGTTCTTCTTTGACATATCTCCATAAAGACAAATTCTCAAGATTGCTTAGTTGTATTCTGGTATATTTAGCATAGACCGTATCATTTATTAAAGATGTATTATTTTCTAGTTTACTGGTCTGTTAAAAAAAATTAAATTTTTTTATAAAATCATACTTAATTTCCTTCCCATTTTAATAGCATATTTTATAGGGTATATCTTAAAACATTTAAGGCTGCAAACTTTTAGTTTATGTTAAAAACTAAAATATATTTTTTTATGAGTTTTTATATAAAAAACAATATCATAGATTTGTTTACCCCATACCAGTCTACTGCTAGTGAAATCAGAGAAACTTTAGTGCTGAATAAATGACTAATGTGGTCATCAAATACAAATGTAGATACACGAATAGTCAGTCTGTAGCAGTTGACATATTATATACGTATAAAAATCAAATTGTAATATCTATCAATTATAACTTTAATTTCACTTAATATAATAAATCATAACGCCCAGTACTTTTGGGACACTTAACTATAGTGGAACTACAATATAAATTAAAATCATATAGAATTATTTACCAATATCATACTGCGCTCGCGTAAAATTGTACAAAAGAAAATTCGTAGGGGTGTTTTTATTTTAATGCATATTGTTAAAATGTAACTAAATTTTTATATTTTCACAATACAAAATAATGATCAATTGATGTCTTTAAATAAATTTTGCTATATGCTTGTAACTAAAATATTAAACAGCAAACGAATATATATTCAATAAAAATAATACGCGCACATAGTGAATTTCATTGATAGTAATATTTACCATTATTATGCCCTTGAATGACATTGTGCATAAAAAACTTTTTGAAATAATAATAAAAAAATTTAACGAAAAATATACAAATTTGATTTTAGCCACCAACACAATAAAAAGAACGGAATAAAGAAACAAAATTTTCAAATTAATCAAATAATAATTTTTATTGAGTCATGTTTACAGCCAGCATTAATTTTTTTAAATTTCTCCCTGGGACATAATGAGTCATGTATTTACTTTAAATTAAATTTTAATTGGGAAAGATTGAAAATATTAATTAAGTACACACGTAGACATATTTATAAACTCACTTGAATTTTAATTATTTTGAATCTAATTCCCTTGTTTATTTCAAACATAAATGACTCTAGTTTTAGATCAATTCCTTCTACTGTAATAAAAATAATTTTTAGTTTAGATACATGGAATTTCTTTTTGTCATGATGAGACATTAATATGTGTTCAACAGATGACATAAGGATTTATTAACACAGCCTATACTTACCGTTGTATTCGAAAATGTAATCTTTTCCATTGTAATTTAAAATAATGTGTTTTTCTTCGAATGTCTTAAAAATATAAATAACAATGATTATAAAAAATAAAACGAATTTAAATTTTCTGGAATGTTAATAAGTATAATTGAATATTTTTTCTTAAAAAAATGTTCGTCCATAAATAGTTTAGAAAACAAAATAAACGATTCTAAATTTCAAATATTTGTTCCATTTAGGTTTTCTATAAGTTCTAATAAACCAACTACAGTAATTTCGACATGATAAAATCTTTTAAAGTATGCTATAAAATACTGATTAATCTGTTCATACAAAAAATCTCAAGTATCTTTTTTACATAATGTAATTTAATCCAAATGACTTTTTAATAAAAAAAACGGTTCAAAGGGATATGACATAGTGTTAACCTAACATAACTGATAATGATTAACATTATTATTAAGATTATAATTTATCGAATTATTTTTGTTAAAAAAATTATTTATTCGGAACAATTGTTTAACCTAACAAACTATATATAATATGTTTGTTTATTAAGAATATATTAGATATCGATTATGATGTTTTCGCGAAACCTAATCAGGCAAAAAGTCCTTCTTCAGAGCGATAGTTAATCGTTAGTGGTTGTAACAGTAAAGTCGGCTTAGTATGAATACGGTTTGGTAATTTATCATTAGTTCCAGAAAATACGCCGAAAGAGACACTCGCTATGTAGCAAGCACTACAAAATAATACAATATACTGTACAATAATAGATACAATAATCTATACAATAATAGATACAATAATCTATACAATAATAGATATACAATCGAAAACATAAACAACACACTTAAGCAAGCAGAAAAAAGAGAATCAGAATCGAAATTGTACAACGTGCAGCAATGTTGATGAAAATGAAGAAGATGATAATAAAGGAACACAAATACTGTAGTAAATACAAGGAATTACCGACCGCATTTCAAAAATCACAGATAAATTCAAAATAAGAACCATTCTCAAACTGAACAAAGTTTTAGGATAACTACTCCGAAACCAGAAAGGCCATCTATCAGAAATGCAAAAACCCAGAGTTTATGAAATACTGTATTAATATGGTAAGTCATATATTGGACAAACATGAAAAGAATAAAACAATACGAAAAAGACGTAGATTACCAAAGGAAAGAAAAATCCGCGGTAGTTGAATACGCCAAAAACAGTGGACACGAGATCAAAGTTGCACAAAGTCAGAATATTTAACTAAGAACCTCATTTTTTCAAACGGAAGTATAAAGAATCAATCGAAATAAAAAAATGTCCTGAAAATTACAACAGAGAAGATACATGAACTATTATCGTATTTAAAATTTTAATTAGTTAGAAAGAATGGTCAAATTCGACACCTTGCTCAACACTTGTGTGTAAAGTAAGTTTTATTATTGGGTAAGCTAATATACATTAGCATAATTAATGTTACGCTTAAAGAATTTATTATATGTGTAAATTTTGGAAGTATTATTGATTTTTTAATTGGTTTACGGTGTAATAAAACAAAAAAAATATTTGGAATGAAAAATTTCCATCTGGGATCTTAAAATTTTGAATTATAATTTTCCTTCATATATATATGGCAGCCACCCAAATGCTCTTGAATATTTATTAGATTTAATTATTTTTAGTAACTATGGTATTTCAACTAATTATAAGGAAATAATTTACTTGAATAAAATAATAATTATTATTTAGCCATTATTTTATAAGGGTTCTATAAATTTCTTGATTACTAAAAAAACTACACTTTTATTTTTGATACCAGTTTTAAGATTCGAATATAAATATAAATTATATTACTGCAATAATATATTAACAACAAGAAACTTATAGTTAATGAGATTCAAATCCAAGTATATATTTTAATGTTAATTATAAAATAAATACTTTCTACAGAACTTTATTTTATCATTCGCCATTTAAATAATAAAAAAATTAATACAGTATTGATAATATTACTCTTGATTCAATTAGTTACATTTTTTTTTTCAATTTAAAATCCTAGAGTTTTTTTCATGTTCATCTACATTAATGTATCAAAAGCATGGTTGGTAAATTGAGAAAAACATAAAATTTAAAAAAAGATTAAGAATGAAATTTTCAATATTCTATTTATTTTTCGATTAATTAAGTGATTAATGATTTAATAAAATTATGTGCTTGAATATTCAAATGTTATAATAAAATTAACATACGATTTTAATATATATTGTGTCTTTTTTTTTAATGTTTTCATAAATATAGGCATACTGAAAAAAATATAAAAATATCAATAATTTCTTTACTAAATATAAATACAACAATATTAAAGTATTTTATTTATATTTATCATTATATAAATCAGTGATTTTAAAAATTTCATATAGAAATATTAACATGCTCTTCCATCACAATAAAAATGTACCAGTAAATGTTAAGTTTTTTATGAGTTTTTTCTATGAGGCTGTTTTCTCTCATTGAATACACTTATGAATTAAGATACTTACAAAATTCACATAAAGTTCTGCGAAAATCTCATTTTTATTTTCAATATCCTGGAAATAAAATCCAAAAATATATTTATTCAGTTTGGTAATAATCAGAAATTTCATTTCTGATTATTTCATTTCGTGTAAATGTTAATGCGTGATTCGGGGACGTATCACGAGGCAACTTAATATAAATAGCACTGAAGAACGCCATACGGGCTAACGAAATAACGATATGACTGAGACAATGCATTTTTAGATGTTTTAGAACCAAACTCTTCAATCAACCCCTGTTCATTATTCCATACAGCATACACGCACCTGTACGGCAGCCTACTAATATTTTGGAGCAGCACATCACTCTACTATTGACTGTTATGCTGTGCTTTACATATTATTTTCATTGATAAAGCTCACATAATATAAAACAAAATGTATGTGTAATCATAATAAAATATAATATTATAATATGATATTATTTTAAATACTACCGATTATTAAACGTTAAAGTGTTATGAGTATCACATTTCTAGTTTATAATTTATTTACAACTATGAAAAATATTAATTTTATTGATAATTTTATATAATTTACTGTGTTATATGAAATATATAATAATAATAACCATTAATGTGTATGTAGTTAGTACTTAGTTAAGTTTAAAACATTGGATATAATTGAAATTGTTGAGGAACTAATTATTTAATTTTTTACTGGTTNATTGAAATTGTTGAGGAACTAATTATTTAATTTTTTACTGGTTGGAAATTGAACAAATTTTTAATTATTTTACATATTTTTTTTGTTGTTTTTTTTATATATTTTTTTTTCTTTTATATTTGATTTGAGCAATCTCTTTGGGAGTTGAGGATCTACAATCTCTAGGAGTAAACACTCCATGTAAGACCTATTAAAGTGAAATATTAATGACTTTTACTTATATTTTTAACAATATAAATTATTATATTATTACTTTATAATGCACAATCAAGCAAGAAATATGAGTATATGAATTTATACTCATATTTCAAAAAAATTGTCGTGCATACACTCTGGATGATTTGGTATGGATTGACCCAACTATTAAAAATATTAATTTTATTGATAGTTTTATATAATTTATTGTGTTATATGAAATTTATAATAATAATAACCAGTATTATGTATGTAGTTAGTACTTAGTTAAGTTTAAAACATTGGATATAATTGATATTGTTGGGGTACTAATTTAAATTTTTACAGGTTGGAAATCAAACAAATTTTTAATTATTTTACAAATATTTTTTTTGGTTCTTTTATATTTGATTTGAGTAATCTCTTTGGTAACTGAGGATCTACTATCTCTGGGAGTAAACACTCCATGTAAGACCTAGTAAAGTAAAATATTAGTTACTTTTACTAATATTTTTAACAATAGATATTATTATATTATTACTTTATAATGCACAATATAGCAAGAAATAAGAGTATAAATTAATATTTGGTCATTATAAAATTTGAGAAAGAAATTACCAAGAAATAATATACATAAACGAATGTATATTAGATACATTTGTTTATACTGATTATCAAACAAACGGATATATTAAGAATAAAATAAATGTCATTCCACATTTATCAAAAAAAATAAAAATCCCTTTATCATATATCATTTTTCTACCATTTCGTTCAAATTCGATTTCCAGAGAATCATTATTTATAACTAACCTTAAATTAAACTAGGCGTGAAAAACCTGGTATATGCAAAAAATAAAATTAAAAAGTGAGTTTTAAGTGTATCTTAAAACTCACAAAAAATTGTCTTAAGTGATATAATATACTACGTATAAATAAATTCAGGACCGGTGAACTTTAAATTCATACTCAAATTTTTCATGATGACCTTTTTTGACAAATAATTTTTGGAGAAGAATATCTAATTTTAATATCTAATAAGACGGTTGATCCGTCCTGCTGCCCACGAATATAATGTATGTTGTGGACTCATATTTGTAACAAGAATGTTTTTTAATGTTACGGAATAAAGCTCCACGTAAATTTCTGACAGATTTCTGATCAATAGACATTTTTATTAATTTTGCATTATTATTTACGTGTAAAAATTAAAACACTAAAGTTAAGTCCATCTCCTGTCAATAACAACAATTATTTTACAAAGTTAGATAAGCCACTGCTAAATGGTACATTGGTGTGTCGATAAAAAAGTATAAAATAACTGATTTTGATTGTTGGCAAGGTAGCAGCTGAAAGTAATCGGTTACCGCGATTCAACAAAAAATTCGTCACGTTGTAATGCCACTAGCGACCGACACATGTCGATAGAAAAAATTCATTATTTTTCATAAAAACTGTTTTGCGCGGGACTACTTTGTTTTATCTGNAAAAAATTCGTCACGTTGTAATGCGACTAGGGACCGACACATGTCGATAGAAAAAATTCATTATTTTTCATAAAAACTGTTTTGCGCGGGACTACTTTGTTTTATCTGTATAGACGCTAGAGTCACAAATATCTTATCTTCTTTAAACAAATGACTATTGTAGTTAAAATACATGTTATTTTTCTGTACAAATTTTAATTTTTTTGTATATTTAAAAATAAGTGTTTACCATAGTAATGAGTTCACCAATAAATATAAAATGTACATGAATCTAACGTACATTAAATATAAATTTATATTTATTTTGTTTATTTTGCTTCTTCAAAGTTGAGAAAGCATTTTACATATTTGAAAACTTGATAATATGTATGAATATAAGAACTTTTCAAATTTACTATCCAAAATTTCCCGGGAATACTACTTCTTTTAAAAAATTTTTTTTATATATTAAAAGTTCAAAAAAAAAAAATTATATCTACCGGCCGATAAATTTCTGATGAATAATAACAGTAATGTAATGTATGATGTATCGTGCACGGACGTACCATTTAACTTACTTATTTACCGTTTTTATACAGTTCACTTCATAATAATCATAATATTCATGCGTCTATTATTATTCAAAATAATTGTAAGATTGAATCATCTATCCACAGATCTAACAAGCACTAAGTAACCTATAGCTTATAACTAATTCTCAAAGGTCACATAGCTATACTTATGGACCAATCAATTTTTCATATTGATTTGTCCATGAACTCTCTGCATTATACACGAGAGATTACAAGTATTGGTAGCTAATTGGTTTTTTATGATAACGCTATCACAGTTACATAGCGTTTATTGTAATTCATTACTTAATCAACAGATATGCTTAAAGTGTAGTTGTAAGGCACATTGTTGTGAATTAACATTCAAAAATACACAACATGCAATACAGAAAACATATTTGCTGATAGTCATCATTGACAATAAACGCTCCATATCTGTGAATAAGCGACGTCATAAAAAAGAAATTAGCTACCTGTAATTGTAATTCTTTGCATATTATACATGTAAATAAGCTCAAAAATATGAAACTTTAAATGTTTTTATCTTATAAACAAATAAAGTTATATTAAAAATTCAAATCCCCTATTATTAAGGCTGTTATAATGTTTACTTAAAAATTTCTTACCAATATTAAAGGACCACACATTACATATTTCTAAAATAAAAGATTTTACGGTAGAATGTTTTTATTAAATATTACAAAATGATAACAGTGTCTAGGTGGTAACAATATACAATAAAAGCTTACTTTTTGAGTTTTCAAACAATATGTCTCCGTAGTGCATGCAAAATCTAAACACTATAATATAACCGTAGGATGTTAATATTATAAATTTTAATTTCAAAAAAGTTGATTCCTAAAATTTATTAATGTTTAATAATGAGTTAACTTACATAATCACATGGGTCGTATTTATTATTTACTATTACTTCTTCCTGTATGAAAAAAACATATTTTAAATATTTATATAAAGATTTGACATTTATAATCACAGTTTGAATAAAAAAATATTTATTTAAAAAATAATAATATATGGTGTATATGAAAAATAAAACTATATGAAGACTTTCTTGGTTCTAAAAATACACAATAAAAACTTACTTTTGAAAGACTAGAAAAATCTTTCTCCGTAATCCACATAGATATTGTATGCTATTTTATAACCATTAAATGTTAATATTATTGACTAAAATTTCAAAATAGTTCTTTCATAAAATGTATTGAAGTTAATAATAATAATAACATACATGACCAGATTCTTTTTTATCATTATCTAGTATCACTTTTTCCTATAAAAAAAAAACCAAGTTTGAAAAATTTAAATAGAGATTTGATAATTGTAATCACAGTTAGCATTTAGAGTTTTTTATTTAAATAAGAAAACTTTATTGTTTATATGAAAAATAAAACTATATAATGACTTTCTTAATTCAAAGAAAGTGTTAAGTTTTAATTGTTGTCGTATACTAAAAATGTCACATGAAAATTAATAAAAAGTATCTATACTAAACTATTAAATTAAATATCATTTAATAAACTATGTAAATTACCGGGTCAATTAAAAGTATATTTCCAAAAACTTCTTCAAAAAAATGTCCACATATAAAAATTAATAAAAAAGTAAATATTTTGTAAAACATTTCACAAGAATAATTAGATTTTAATAATGTAATTAGCTGACTTATAACTTAGAATATAGTTTTCATTGAATTTTCGCATTTTTATATGTATTAAAATAAATAAAATGTAAATAAAAAAAAACAAATATTAAAAATAAACTATGATTATTTTAGTATAAAACTATATTAGCATACTTTTCATATCATATATGATAATAATACATAAATTAAATCATTTTATTTATGTATGACGTGTCATAAAAATTGATAATTGCTTTTACATTTTTTAATTTAAAAGTGTAACTAACTGAATGATTTTCAATGTAACACAATAAATAATTTTTAACATTTTTATAGTATGCCAGTAAGGTAATATAGGGGATTTTGGTTCCCCCCGCTTCACCCACCCTCCAATCCGAATGTGGTGTAAATGAAGAGGTGTTGAGAGGGGGGGGGGGAATAAATCCAACGTAAACTAACATATAGGTGAGGAACCTCTCCTCTTCTACGAAGTCTTATGATAGGGGGGTAATGAAACACGACGTTAACTAACACAACTTGTCGCGCACCTAAATTATGCTCGGCCATATAGTATATACGTAATATCGTTTTTTTGACGAAAAAAAAAATGCATTTTCCAGGTAAGCTATACGGTTACGGTGAAGAGTATGAATTTTAAACGTCGAATCCGTTATTTTGATATGCGACATGCATATATTTAGATAAAGTCTANCGTCGAATCCGTTATTTTGATATGCGACATGCATATATTTAGATAAAGTCTATACGTAAAATGTTAATTTTACCTAATTTGTAAAAAAAAAAATTAGTTCGAAACATTGTGTGCCAGATGGCTGTATTGATGATTACACTATAGCACTCGAGATAAATATAGCAGATGGCTTAACGCGGCGTCGATGTCGCAGTCAATTACATTAATTGTTAATATACGATCTATAAGTTTGACCGTTATTGGTATAGTGAATAATAAATCAGTATTTTTTTTTTGTCGACAATATATAATAATGACGACTGTTAGAGTTTTCTTATAGCAAAACACATTTTTAAATAAACACTACTACTACCGCCGCCGCCGACGACGACGACGATAATAATTGCTGGAACATATATTCTAATGATTTTAATATTATTATTATAATTGTAATACACTTATCGATTAATGTCATACATATTTTTGTCTGAATTATTACACGTATCCCTCTCAATGTTATAAATAATTACTGTATTTAACAACTTAAATTAATTATTTTTAATTAACTAATAGTCTCGACTGGTCGGATTGCTTTCTTGTTCCGTCAACGCATTAGAGACGGCAGACGGTCATAATTTTTACAAAGGCATCTGTTTTAAATCCTAATGAAAAATATGTATAAACATTACACATTACATAAACGGAATTTTTTCACGCTATTATAAATAACGATTCAATTTATTAACACTGGTGCAGCGGATAATACAGTAACAAACCGTATGTATAAAGACGTTACTAAAGATTTTATTCACTCTTTGATTAAGCATTAATAACGGCTCGCTAAAACATTGCTTAAAAATATTCTGTTAAATGTATACAAGTACTAGTATTTTTTTTATTTAAATTTAAAATCGAATAACAATGGCTGATGTACATTTTACTGGTGCTGCACAAGGTAAGTTTTTATATTTTTGATTGAATATTTCGATATTTTCGATACACAAATTGTTTTATACACATTTTTTCATAGCCACCTCTTCCGCATCTGTTCTACACCATCATTCGATTAAACGTAAGGCTAACAACAGTAGGGTAAAAATCGAAAAGGTTGCGTATACAATTGCCGGACGCGAAAAATTTCATCGAGATTGATTCCGCATTGAAGAGGGAAGCCGTTTGGTTTTATCGGAAAAACGTGGAAAATTTCGCGAGCTATCGAGATTTTCTACGTATTGTTAAATCTGAGCTGGTTGCCAAACTCGGTGGAATCGCAGTTGTTCGGCCTATTAAATATAATCGCAAATTGGAGGCTTCTTACGATATACCGCGATCGGAAGCACCGCCCAAGGACTGTGCCTTCAAGACACGGGCTAGGATGTTGTTGTCCGACACGGACATTGTTTGTGCGGTCAATGATAATTTCGAGATTATGCTAGCTGAGGAAGACGTATACTCAGGTAGGGGTAGCGGATTCACGCTAGCGCATATCGACGGACTCATGCTCAGCGTATACAAGTATACGCCCCTCGCCGGCTCATCATATATTCCAGTCCCATCCGAAATTTTCCATAAAAGAGTAATCATCAACCCACATAACATCGATCGGTTGGGCTATGAGTCAGCCCATGCCGGACGGAGGCTTCCGGTGGTATAAAGGAGCAGATCCTCTGACCGACCTTCAATTGCTTCCGGACACTGGTAATACGAAGCGTATATATGAAGTGGATGTATCGTATCCAGAAGAGCTGCATGACGAGCACAACGACTTGCCGTTCTTGCCTGGCAACGATGTACCACCGGGTTCCAAAGAGACCAAATTCATGGCCACTTTGAAACCCAAACAACGGTACGTCGTAAACTATGTCAACTTGAAACAGGCGATTGCACACGGACTGCAAGTCGATAAAGTATATACATCGTACCTAGAGCTATTAGTTATGATATTAATATGCTTGTCACACAGGTGCACCGCGTTTTAGAGTTTCAACAAAGTGCTTGGTTGAAACTGTACATTGAGTTGAACACTGAAATGCGGAAAAAGGCGACAAATGCTTTTGAAATAGCATTTTTCAAATTAATGAATAATGCCGTCTTTGGTAAGTGCACGCTCAATGCTAAAACAGTTGTGGGTTATTCGATAAACATTTATATTTTATAGGGAAAACCATGGAGAACACGCGAAAACGCATCCGTATTGAGTTAATCTCCAGTCCCGAACGTCTAAGCAAGCTCGTAAACCAACCAAACTTCAATGACTGTATCAAATACGGCGAAAGATTGTGCGCCGTCATAATGGACACAAAGATTGTCAAGTTTATCAAACCAATATACGTCGGTTTAGCAGTGCTTGAAATTAGCAAGTCGCTAATGTACAAGTACTTCTACGACGTATTTAAGGATGTACATTTTTAGTTTAAGTTAAAAACTAAAATAAATTTTTTTATGAGTTTTATATAAAAAACAATGTCATCGTTTTGTTTACCCCATACCAGTCTACTGCTAGTGAAATCAGAGAAACTTTAGTGCTGAATAAATGACTAATGTGGTCATCAAATACAAATGTAGATACACGAATAGTCAGTCTGTAGCAGTTGACATATTATATATAAAAATCAAATTGTAATATCTATCAATTATAACTTTAATTTCACTTGTATAATAAATCATAAAGCCCATCCAGTGCTTTTGGGACACTTAACTATAGTGACCTTCAATATAAATTAAAATCATATAGAATTATTTACCAATATCATACTGCGCTCGCGTGAAATTGTACAATAAGAAAATTCGTAGGGGTGTTTTTATTTTAATGCATATTGTTAAAATGTAACTAAATTGTTATATTTTCACAATACAAACAAATGATCAATTGATGTCTTTAAATAAATTTTGCTATATGCTTGTAACTAAAATATTATACAGCAACGAATATTTATTCAATAAAAATAGAACGCGCACATAGTGAATTTTATTGATAGTAATATTTATCATTATTATGAGCTTGAATGCCATTGTGCAGAAGAAACTTTTTGAAATAATAATAAAAAAATTAAACGAAAAATGTATAAATTTAATTTTAGCCACCAATACAAAAAAAGAAGGGAATAAAGAAACAAAATTTTTACATTAAACAAATAATAATTTTTACATTTTTACAATTATAATTTTTTTTTGTTAATGTTTTAAAAATGATTTTACGACATTATTTTTTTAATTTTCTGCCTGGGACGTAATGAGTCCTGTATTTACTTTAAATTACATTTTAATTAGGAAAGATTGAAATTATTAATTAAGTACACACGTAGACATATTTAAAACTCACTTGAATTTTAATTATTACGATTATAGTTCGTTTGTTTATTTCCCACATAAATGAATCTAGTTTTAGATTAATTTCTTCTACTATAATAAAAATAATTTTTAGTTTTGTTACATGGCATTTCGTTTTTGTCATGATGAGACATTAATATGTTTGTTCGTCTACAGGCTCCTAAATATCGGTTGACCTGATTGACTTAGGACGTGAATTAAAGGAAACCCCAAGAACTTAGTAAATAAGAAACTCGAAAGGATTTTGTCTATAATAACAATATTAGTTTAATTAATAATAAACTTTATAGTTGGANTTGTCTATAATAACAATATTAGTTTAATTAATAATAAACTTTATAGTTGGACGTCCCCACTTACATTAATAATGACAACTAAATAGTACACTGTAATAAAATGAGTACAAATATAAATTTTAAGTGTTATAGAATACAATAATCTGACCTGGGCAAAACATCAAGGATTGGATTATAACTGTTATGTTCAACCAACTTCAATCGTTTGAATGAAACAAAACACGAGTAATCTATAATGATCACACGCACGGTAAATCCACCGAATTCACATTTATATTACGATACCGCAAAGTCGAAGAAAAAACTCGTGGCGGCGCCAATGGGTCTAATCAACTAGACCGTACAATGGTTGACTGACTAGATAAGGCGACGACTTACCGGACAGCGAACGGCATCCCCACTTACTATATGTAACCGGTTCCATTCGGGCCGCAAGTTGAACACAACCACATAACTTGCCGCAACAATGTTTCAACAGATGACATAAGGATTAACATTCCCTACACTTACCGTTGTATTCAAAATGTTATCTTTTCCATTGTAATTTAAAATAATGTGTTTTTCTTTGAATGACTTAAAAATATAAATAACAATAATTATAAAAAATAAAAAGAATTAAAATTTTCTGGAATTTAAATAAGTTTAATTGAATATAATTTCTTAAAAAATATTTCATCCGAAAAAATGTTTAGAAAACAAAATTCTAAATATCAAATATTTGTTCTATTTAGGATTTCTATAAGTTTTAATAAACCAACCATAGTAATTACGACATAAAAATTTGTTCTTGAGTACGCTAAAACTTTATTATTATAAAAAATGTTATAATAATGATTTCACAACATTATTTTTTTAATTTTTTGCCTGTTCCGTAATGAGTCCTGTAATTACTTTAAATTAAATTTTAATTGGGAAATATTTAAATTACAAATTAAGTACACACATAGACATATTTATAAACTCACTTGA